TGATAAGCTGTTTCATAGAGTTTTTGCTATGTTCCAATGCATGATCATAGTTCCCATCGCAATATGCATACTGTTAAATTCTTTGATACCAAAGGCTGATCATTTTAATTGAAAATGGTTGAGATCAGGTGGATCACTGAATATCAGTTTTTTAGAATTTTATCTTTTCCCCTCTTCCAGGGTTCCACAAGGCAATGGTGAAGACCATGACTATTGCTTTGAAAATTCCTCACTTTGGTTATTGCGATGAGGTTGATCTAACACAACTCATCAAGCTGAGAGAAGAGTTGAAATCAGTAGCAGACGCACGGGGAGTTAAACTTTCTTACATGCCCTTCTTTATAAAGGTGAGATAATAGCAGGCAGAACCAATGTATATATAATATTAAGGGATCACTTGGTGCATATACCATCCTGGTTACTATATTGTATGATACTGGTCCACTGAAAAAGTGGACAGCCCCCCACGCAAAGTTATTCTCTCTGGAGGCATATAGAATACATATTAAAAATGTTACATTGCAATGGACCATGCAGATGGATTTTGTATTTTGATGCAATATTTTTCTATCAGAAATATTTCAAATACATTGCATCAGCCCAGAGTTATATAATATTAAGGGATCACTTGGTGCATATACCATGCAAATACCCACTTTCCCCTCCTTTATTGGTCACCTGTCTTCTCTCTTTCCCTGTCACTTGCGCCAAGGGGATGGGGAAATTATTTGCCCCAGTGTTCTTGTTAGGAATCCCAACCCTGTATGGGAGACCCCTCCCCTCCCCAGCTACTTCTAGGTTTTGTGGTCCCCTGGTAGAATCTGCCACCACCCAAGGTATCTCTGATAGTCTTTCCTCAGAGTCCTCTTAGTGCCTTGAATCGACCAGGAAGGGAGGTGTGCATGTGTGTAAGCCTGTCTGAGCATCTAGGTGGGTGGCTAAGAATTCAGCGCAGTTCAAACACCTGCCACAAAAAGGCTTGTTTAACTAACATATGTTCTGCAGAAAAGAGCAACACAGGTGAAATAAGAATGGCATCTGGTTACAGTGAGAGTTGTTACAGAATTTAAGAAATAATTTTATGGCCAAGTCACGACACACCAGCCTGGGATATTTTCCCTTCTGTTCTATTTAAGACTTTTCAAATTGTAAGACTCAGGAAGCAAGTAGGTACAGGAAACACATTAACAGGTGCTACATTGTAGCTTGCTACCCTGTGTTGTCCTCTTAATTCTGTAATGAACATAAAACTTAAACAGGTACTAGATCCTGTTTTCGACAAGCTTTCAGCAGACAGGATTAGATTTGTGAGGCACCAGGAGGTAAAATCAAAGCCTTAAGAAATCAAAATAGCTCAAAAAAAGTTTGGGAGTTACTTTTATTAAGCATTCACTGAAGTTTGAAGGTTTGTTGTCAGTTATATAACGGGGGGTTTGATGATCCCCATTATGGATCTTGGTCATCTGAATTTATCATGAATAATTATGTAAGGGAACTCTGGGTTAATATTTGTTGCCATTTGTAATGTATTGGGCAACACTGGCCTTCAGTAATCATCCGCCAAGTATACTTCAACCATTAATGGCTGACGTAATAGTTGTGTTTGTCTTTTGGCTGAAAGCTGTGCTGGTAACTTGACATTCTGAAGCAGCTGCTAAGTCCTCTTGAATTTGCCATCCAAGCCCTAAATAAGTGGCAGCTGCCAGTGACTGACATCATAGACCCTTTCTTGAGCATGTTTCTACTGTGGTGTGTTGGCATAAGTTATTAGCTTGCATCCTTATCTTAATTTCTCAAGGCTTTACCAGAAAAAAAGTAGTTTCCACTGAGCCACAAACTTCAGTTGGTTAGTTTGCTCATTAAAACTTTAGTACTAAGCAGTGTGGGTCAGTTTTAATCAGTGAAGCTAAGGGCACAATTTATTTATTTCTTGAAGTAATGGTGTAATGTTAACATGGACTAAAAAGCAAACAGTAAAGATCACTTTCTAATCAAGGCATTTTAGAGCCCCCTCCTGTGCATGATTCAGAAGTAAATCCCACTGGGATAACTCCAAAGTAAGATGCGACATTAGATTATTAAGCAGCACCTTATAGCTCATACTTCTGCAGTATCTCAGCATCTCTGTAGAAATATTGGAAATCTGCAAGTGTGCTGAAATGGAGTTTAATGAAGATAAATAACAATGGACCAAAATATATTTAATCAGCAGGCAGCCCAGTTTGTTACAGGTCGTACATTGACGGAATGCTTCCTTTTAAAGTTAGGATTGACTATAAAAGAGAAGTAACCTTTTAAAAGAAGCTTTGCATTCGTTGATTCTCTAAAATATTATAAAATATGTTCCCCCCCCAGCCCCCCTTTTTTTGGCAACAAATTACTAGTCGGAGGATATGCAACATACAGGCTGATTAGGCGCACATTTGGGGAACATGACTTTGATCCAAATGCACACACAGAGAAATTCAGTCTGAGTACTACAAATGATAAGGAATTCGCCTTTTGGCTCCTAATATTAAAATACGTGTCTCTTATTTTTGACAGGCAGCTTCTTTGGGTTTATTACACTACCCTATTCTTAATGCTTCTGTGGATGAAAACTGTCAAAACATCACCTACAAGGTTTGTAGAAGATAAAGCATCTCAATCTCTTTTGTGGCTGCTAGTAAGCTCTCTCCAGCTTTGTTTAGTTTTATGAGCTTAAGGGAAGATGTGTTTAAATTTTCAGGTAATATTCATGGATGGGTACATTTATGTCCTCAGTGTATTTTAAAAAACCACACAGCTTGTCTTGTATTTGGTTTCTGAACAATATCTTGGATATCTTCAGTTTGTCTAGGGAGGGGAAGGGAGAATATACAGAAGATGAATGGGCATTCATTGCAGTTGCACAAGCTTAAGCTTCATTTCAGTAGGGAGTTACTGAATGTGTTGTGGAAAAGATGGGTTTTAATGGGAGAACAGTAGAAATCTAGTCCCAAAATGATACTTGTTTTGATGGACTAAATTTATGTTGAATGAATGTACTTTTTAAGAGATTAATACTTGATCTTGTCTAAAACAAAAAAAAATTATATATTTCCAAATAAGGCAAAAATAAACAAGCTCGGACATTGAGTAATATTGGTTTATCTTCATAATAATGCTCTTAAACAGGAGTATTAAAATAAAAAATAAAATAAAAATCATACAAAATGAAGCACTGAGCATATAGCCCTAATCTAAATCTAAAGCAAGGGAAAATATGTAAAGCGCCTAACATTTCCAATAAACCAGTGACCAGTGTCCACCCAAACAAAACTTTCTGATTTTTCACCCTGAATGTGTATTCCAGGCTTCTCACAACATTGGAGTAGCTATGGATACAGGACAAGGATTGGTTGTCCCTAATGTAAAAAATGTTCAGATCCATAGCGTGTTTGAAATTGCCTCAGAATTAAATCGCTTACAGAACTTGGGGTCCACAAACCAGTTGGGAACGACTGACCTCACAGGAGGAACTTTCACGCTCTCTAATATTGGCACAGTGAGTTAAATAACAGTATCCTTCATGTTTTATATTGTTTTTAAAATCAGGGGCATCTTTCCTGGGGGGAGGGGTCAGGAACATGAGTAGCTTGTGGGTGGGGACCCTGTAGGAAAGTGCATATGGGGCCTCCTTTGAAGAGTACTTTTCTCCCTTTCTCACAATATTAAATTTATGTTGAATGAATGTACTTTTTTTTTTTTTTTTTAATTTATAAACTGTATTACTGTGAATGGTGGCAAGTAATATTTCAAATCTAAGGCTTCACTGAATGAGAATATAAATAAAAGTCTAGTTAGCTTCACTTTCTATTTCCCATCTGGGTTTAACAACACAAAGGTAGGTTAAATACGCCATTTACCAGAAGAAAAAAGAAAACTCAGAAAGGTTCACTTCACCATATAGACTAAAGATTCAGGTCTTGCTGTAAAAAGAAAGAAAAAAGGGGGGAAAAAAGGCAGATTACTCTTTGGTCATAAAATACAGGTAATTTTGGTATTAAGTGATAACAAAAGTAAAACGTATTTTGGTATAAGTTGAAGGTTATGAGGTGGGTATGGCTTTATATATAGATGAATGCATTCACCATTATAAAATTACAATTAGAACATCGAAATTCTATCAGTTGAATAAGATATATATATAAAAAGAAAAAAAATTATGTAACGAACGTTCTGAGCAATCTAACGCCCGAGTTGTCACGAGTCGCTGAGGTCGGGGCGTTTTGAAGCTAGGGACCGACGATATCTAAATAAAAGTAACGTGTTTTCGGCTTTTGGAATGTTAATCATGCCTTGTCAGGGTTCCAGGGACTACAGTCGCATTGAAGTCATGAGGCTGTTCTTCATATATAAATCCGTTCTTCAAACAAAATAAGTAGCTAGAAGCAGAATGTTATTCCAGTAAAAAAAATAAAAAATGGTAAGCTGATAACCAGGGATCATAGCTGATCTGGACAGGTAGCTGACCGAAGGTGGAGCTTTTGCAGATAGGATCAGTGGCTGGAACTTCAGCGTTGGACACGAAGCCATCTTTGGGACGTATCGTCTTGTCAGCTTTGAGATAGGGAGACCTCAGACTCAGCCCTAGTTGGGGTTTGTTCAAAGTCAATGCCTAGATCAAGAAGTAGAGAGTGGCCCGTATCTAGATCTTCAGCAACGTGGGTTTTCCCTTGATAAACCACGAGCAATTCAATTGGGGAGCTCCATCTGAAACGGATGTTGTGTTCTAGTAATTTTTGAGTTATAGGCTTCATCAGCTTTCTATGCTGGAGCGTTTCCAGGGAAAGATCTAGCAGAACCAGAATTTTCTTGTTTTGTAACAGAAGGCCACCTTCTGACCTAGATTTCTTCAGGATGGTTTCCCTGGTTCTTGAGTCAGGGAAAACCGCGACTACATCCCGGGGGAATTTGTCGTTCTTACGGTTAGTGGAGCCCACCCGGTAAGCCCTGTCTATGAGGGGAGCGACATTTTCTTCCAAATTGAGAGCAGTCGATAGCCAAGTGGCTAGGAAGGTTTTTAAGTCACACTCACCTTCTGCTTTTTCAGCGATGTTACGGAATTTAAGATTTTGGGCCCGTAGTTTATTTTCCAAGGCCATAATCTTGGATGCCGCCCATTCCTCAGATTTCTGCAAATTGCGTATGTCTTCCTGCGCGGCAATTGCAGTGTCTAACGCCGACTCTGCCGCTTGTGAGACCTCAGAGAGGGTCGAAGTGATCGCTTTGAGCTCTT